TTGAGGAAGAACGTGGAGCCGTCCGCTCACAGCCTTCCCATGGCTGGACAGGTTTCCACGCACACAGCGGGGCCTGGGACCCTGCCTGCAGCTCCCACGCTGACGCTGCAGCAGCCCCGTGTGCCGCGGGAATGCACTAGGACCATCCTGTTCTGTCAGTCCTCCCTGGTCATCTCATCGCTGCCCGGAGCCACACCATGTCCCCAAACACAGGGCTCTGCGCAGTACACCAGGGACCCGCATCACCCCCACAATGGAACAGCCACGGTTCCTCCTATGGGCTGTGAGTCACAGAAACCATAATGTCAGTCTGTAAACTAAAGATTGCCTCTCGTCAGATGCATCTTCACTCGAGCCCTTAGAGAAATGTTTTCTGGCGCAGACAGCTCACATTCACATGTCTTAAACCCAAAAGGAGTCAGTAGTAGACTTCAGCGTTATGCGTGTGCTTTCTCTGGGCGCAGAGAAAAACGTATTTTATACGTAGCCTCGTTCCTAGGACCTCCAGGGTCAGGGGTTAACAAACCCTGGGAAAACAGTCTTTCATGAAAGAAGAGAAAAAACCGCATGCAGTATTCTGTTTTCCTATTAAAATGAGGGGAACAAAGGCGTCATCAGAACTACAATTTATGGGCGAGGATGCAGACATCCATCTGCTTTGACTGAAAAATCACCCTGCAGCTGTTGCCTCTCGTGAATCTGCCATTTTCCCGTTGAGTAGCTTCAGTGGCATCGCCATCCAGGCCGTGCCCCGGGGCCGCAGCACATACACGATACAGTCACTGCATTGGTCCTGAGACACCGATTGTTTCCCTGCAGATGGGAGAGCGCCGCGTGAAGGCTGTTGTTCTGGGGGTGAATGTTTGAATGCCAAGTGTTGGTCTTAATACTAAATGTTGTTTTGTTCCCCCAGGTTCACAGCAAACAGGATTCCTGAATGCGATTAAGGACAGTCCCGCCAGATATCCTTTGTGGGTGTGGTGTTGTGTGTGGAAGGCTCGGGCGTCACGCATTGGACCGACCTCCGGGTGCCCTCCACCCCGCGCCTTGGCTTGTCTTCCCAGCAGCCCTATTCTTTCTGTCCCGGAAGGCACCCGGAGAACTCCCTGACGTCCACCTGCACGAGGAGTGGCGTCCGAATGCTCCAACTCCGAGTGGCGCCTTGCGCCCAGTTTCGGTGACGTGCTCTTTAGCTAGAAAGCAAGTGTGCCTCTTGCCCCCCAGGAACCCACATGATTGGGTTACCTCGGGTTGGTTTGTGGAGAAGCGAGGCTGCAAGCTACAAACTGGCTTCGTTCTGATCAGCGGGTGGTCCCTACAGAATCTTTATGGGTGTCCCTGTGGGCGGCCACCAGAGGGGAACCCACCCCGTGAGCCTCTGGATTCTGTCTGGGGTCAGTTGGGCCTTCCTCTGGGCCGTACAGATGACCCGTATCTACGTTCAGAAACGGAACACCTTTCACAGCCCTGGCTGGACCAAAGATGGTCACTCCCAAGGCATGTGGGTGAGTCCCATCCTCTCGGAATATATGGGCATGTACCATATGTGTGTGGAAGGCTCGGGCGTCACGCATTGGACCGACCTCCGGGTGCCCTCCACCCCGCGCCTTGGCTTGTCTTCCCAGCAGCCCTATTCTTTCTGTCCCGGAAGGCACCCGGAGAACTCCCTGACGTCCACCTGCACGAGGAGTGGCGTCCGAATGCTCCAACTCCGAGTGGCGCCTTGCGCCCAGTTTCGGTGACGTGCTCTTTAGCTAGAAAGCAAGTGTGCCTCTTGCCCCCCAGGAACCCACATGATTGGGTTACCGCGGGTTGGTTTGTGGAGAAGCGAGGCTGCAAGCTACAAACTGGCTTCGTTCTGATCAGCGGGTGGTCCCTACAGAATCTTTATGGGTGTCCCTGTGGGCGGCCACCAGAGGGGAACCCACCCCGTGAGCCTCTGGATTCTGTCTGGGGTCAGTTGGGCCTTCCTCTGGGCCGTACAGATGACCCGTATCTACGTTCAGAAACGGAACACCTTTCACAGCCCTGGCTGGACCAGAGATGGTCACTCCCAAGGCATGTGGGTGAGTCCCATCCTCTCGGAATATATGGGCATGTACCATAGTATTTTAAACTTCTTGAGGCAGATGTTCACCCATTAAGTTCTTGCGTGGGCTCCCACTCCCTTCCCCGTCTACTGAGGTTTTCCACTCACTGGTGTGGCGCCCGCCAGCCGGCCCCAATGACCGCTCCATCTGGGCCCAGGCTCTCTTTCGTCTTCAGGTAACCAGGTGGCCTGGACTTGAACTCCCCATTATTCCCAGGAGTCCTCATCTCGTGGTAGAGAACTCTTAAGAAAAGAACTTTACTGCGATGATGTACACATCACCTGCATACGTCTCCGTCTGGGGCAAAATGACGTCAGTGACAGGGACTCCTCACTGTGGGGGGTGGGGGGCTGAGGGAGCTCAGCTGCTCCGCTCCAGGGCCTTCGGGCTGCCCGCTGCTCCCCGGGTTGTCATGGGCACCTGCAGACACGCCCTCCCCGCTGAGCAGTGCAGCGGTGTGGCTGGGCTTGTTGCTGGGGGCGTGGAGGGGTGCCGTCCACTACAGACCTCCCCACCCAGGGAGGGTCTTACCACCTCACCATCCTGGGGTGAGTCGTAAGGAAAGACCGGTAGCAAGTCCTAGACGGGTAACAGCTCTACCTCCTGCTCCATCACAGCCAGTCATGGGGTTCGCTCAGTTCTTCAAACCCTTTTGTGTCAGTTCTTTGCTTTAAGCCTCTAAATGTGTGGCCGTTGGTTACAGAAGTCACCCACTCTGTGCTAGACAGTGCCGCGCCAACAAAATCCACTCTTTGGGATGTATGTGAGCATGCTCAGTGCCAAAGCATCGCTCACGTGCGTGGGAGGCGCGATCGCGAGGAGGCGCCTGCTGCGGTGGGCAGCTCTGCCAGGCCGCCAGAGCTCACGCCTGCTGCCCTCACGGTCGGGCTGTGCTCAGAGCCTGCAGAGCCCGGTGCGCCGCGTTCCCCACGAGGGGAAGAGGCAGACGCTGCAGACGGAAGGAAGGAAGGCAAGAGTGGCGATGGATCGGGTGGCACGCCGACTTTGCTGCCGAAACTATTCACATGGGGGGGGGGTAATGCTCTTATTTGGTCCAGAGCAAATTTTAGCTTATTTTCTCTCGGAAGCTCACTCTCAGGCGGAGGCGAAGACCTTTCCCGTGGCCGGGGTGTGAACACTCGCAGAACCTCAGCCTGTCTTTCCGGTGTTGCCACATCGCTGCTGACCCTCCCCCACAGCCTGATGCCGGCCCTCGAGGAAAGGGGCTGTTGCCTAAGCCGGGCCTCACGGTCAGGAGCCTGGTGGCCTCGACCTGCCCTGAGTGCATGACAGGCCCCTCGCAGCACTGCTGCCTGTGAGCTTCCTGTGGCCGCGGTAACAAAGCCACAGTTTAGAGGCTTAAGCAGCATGAATGTATCGTCACACAGCCCTGCAGGTCAGAGTCCAGTGGGCTCGGCTGGGTCCTGCTCTGGGTCCCACAGGCTGAAATCCAGGTGTTGTCCCACGTGGACTCTTACCTGAAGGCCCTGGGGAGCGTCTCTCCCAGCGGGGGCTGGCTGAGTTGCTGGGGAACGGGACAGGTCCCCATTCCTTGATGCATCCCCTGACTCACAGCTCCTTTTCTCTGCAAAACCAGCAACAGCGGATCAAGTCCCTCTCACACCTTGAATCCTTCCTTCCCTTCTGCTATCGCTCTGACCTCAGCCAGAACCTCCCTGCCTTTGCAGACGGGCCCCACCCTCATCATTCTGGGTAACCTCCCATCTCAAGGTCCATACCTGCAATCCACATACTCCCTTTTGACTGGTAGGCAATGTGTTCTCAGGTGCCAGGGATTGGGCATCTTTGGGGAGGCCCTTGTTCTGTCTGCCCCTCAGGCCTCATGCAGCTGACTAGCTGCCTGGTCACTTCTAAGTCTACATCGCTGACCTCCCTCCCCTGTTCTGCCCTTTCTGTTAATTCAGGAGAGACAGGACGAGAGGCAAAAAAAGGATGGGTAAAAAAATATGTATGTTTATACACAGAGACACATAAGAAGATGGTAGATAGATAGATAGATAGATAGATGAGAGAGAGAGAGAGAGAGAGAGATCTATCTTCCCTTCCCTGAGTTCAAGTTGAAAATGGTAACAGGCCCCATGAAGACTGACCCAGCACAGGTTACAGGGATTATTACCTGTATAGCTTTGCTCCTGCTGATTCGGTCCCTCTGGTTTTGTGGCATCTCCTGACCCACTGTCATGCCGGCTCCTGCCTGGAAAAAGGTGACCTAACGCCGAAGCCAAAATATCCCAGGGCAGCTCCTCAGCCAACACAGAAGAGTCCGACAAAACCCCCATTTCTCTCCCAGAGCAAATGAGAGGCAAGAGCGAGAGTCAGGCAAATGCGACGGCCGAGCTGCCCGTGCCCGAGGGGCAGAGCAGGAGGGTGAGTGGGCGTCCGGGCGCCGCTCCCAGCCCTCATCTTCCTTATTCTTCCTGCAAGTAGAGGAGGATTTCAGGAGCACGTCCATGCTTAAAAGTGAGGGGCTGGGCTTTTTCACTAAAAAGCTCACAAATATTTCATGTGTGTCACCAACCCCTGTCCCCCGGGCAGTGGTGTGAGTGCCAGACGCCCCCTGTTCTGGCGGTTGTTTTCTGTGGAAATACTTGCTTCGGAGGAGAATGCCCCTGTCCGTGGAGTGAAGCGGTTGAGAAGTGATGAGCTGCGTTGCTGCATCATGAATGTGTATTCCAGAAGAGCATGCTTTAGTTCTGCCGGGTCGTGATGTGCTTAGACCACGAAGTCCTGCTCATTAGTGAGGATGTATGTGTGATGGGTAGGATGGACCCTCAGTGTGTCTTTGCTGGTGGCCTTGGGGAGGTTCTCTCCCCCCGAAGTCTGGGAGACCACATTCTAGCTGTTTCACCGTGGACTGCTCTGTGAGCTCTTCTAAGTGGCTGGAGGACTCTGAGCCTCAGCTTCCGGTCTGTAAGACGAAAGGGCTAGAACAAACCAGGACATCTTCCTGGGGGGTCAGTGTGTGTCCGTGGAGCTGCGTCGGGGAGTTTCTAAGCCGCCTGAAGTCATAAGAAAAATGTTTGTTGTTTGTTGCATTTTTTTCTGAGTTGGCACGTTTCCTCTCATTTCTCTCTTTTTAAAAATCCATGGGTTTTTATACATTTCAGAGAAATTCATATTCTTATTCTGGCATAGACAGCATCTGTGAGGGTCGGGGAGCAGGTGTGTCGTCAGGTGTCGGTGCCGCAGTCAGGGTGAGTGTGTGGGCCAGCTCCTGCAGAGGCCACCGGTTCAGGACCCGGACAGGGACTCCCCAGCAGAGGGGGGACGGTGAGCCGGAGCCGCCTGCCCCAGCGAGAACGAAGAGAGGAGCCAGCCCACAGGTCATCGCACTAGAAGAGCCACACCCAGGGCTCAAAACCTAGCTCTGCTGTTGCTTAAGCAAATTCTTAGCTGCTTCCTGCCTCAGTTTCCCTCGGTGTCAAGTGGGAATTGTGCTTCTCACTGGGTTGATCTGAGGGTTAAGTGTGTCCCTGTGAAGCGTTTGGCCGGCACCTGGCACGTGCCTGTGATACCAGCCATGGGCAGGAAAGGTGATGACTTCCCTTCAGAGCCGCTGTGGGAGGAGCTGGAGGGGGCCGCGGTCTACACCCCACCTTGCATCGTGTCATTTTGACACCGCAGTGAGCTGATGGGGAGACTGCCTTCTGCTATTTATTAAACGTTTCTAAGGCACGAGATACTAATATAGAAAGTGCCTATTTTGTTTTTGCGCTAAACCTTTAAAGTTCCACATCCACCGGAAAACAGTGGGGTGGCGATAGAAGCAGCTTTGCAAAGGGACAGGATCTGGGGGCAGCCACGCTCACCGCTGTCCCTCACCCCCACTCGCAGTTTCCCATGGTTCGCACACAGGAATGTTGTGTGTATTGGGCATGGCCGTCGGCCGCCCTGGAAGTAAACTTCTGGGGACACGGAGCACGTCTGAGGTCAGCTCGTCCCGGGTTGTTCGGTGAAAAGTCTTTGCTTCCTTTTTTAATTCTCTTTTCTACCCGCGACCATTTCTTGGCTGGCTTCATGTGTCTGTTTCTTGGCTTGACCGCCAGCCTCTGCAGATTCCTTGCCGGCGTCACCTCCCTGGACACCCCGTTTCCCGGCTGCCGGCCCCTGGACTCCTCGCTGTCCCTGGCCTCCACTCGGCCTCTGCTTTCACACAGGGGGGCACGGCTCCCAGCGGGCTGCCCCTCTTGGGTGGCCGATGGGGTTAGAAGGGGCACCTGCAAAAGCGACCTGTCGGAAGGCAGTGAGAATGAGACCATCTTCGGCACATAGGCCGCTGTCCACGTGTCCCCGGGTGCACACCAGGCTTCCCACCAGAACCATTTGCTACCGGGCAGCCCTGGGAGAAGGAAGGGGTTGCCGGGCTGCACAGGGAAAAGCAGACAAACATGGATGGGGAGGGGTCCACCTCTCTGCATCTCCCTATTCCCCCCCGACCCTCCTACCCCTGCATGTTTACCCCCTGCCCAGCCACGTCTGTCTGCTTTTCCAAACACCGCCTGGGTTTCCCTCTCCTCCTTCCTCCGTGAGGGCAGCGGGGACATCGTGTGCTGGCAGTCTAGACTCCAGAGGACCCGGCTGTCCCCCTCGGCCGGCCCGCCTGGGGACACTCCCCCCAGAGGTCCTGCTGCCTCCGGGCTGCCTCTCTGAGCTCGCAGCTTCGAGGCTCAGACCTTGGAGAAGGGAGGCGCTGTCCGCCTCTCCCGGAGCAGCCAGCCGCGTGTCCTGATGCTGACAGTGGGTTAGCGGCTGGACCCCTCATTTCTCCCGTTCCCCAGGCGGCCCCGTCCCCGGCGGGCGCGCAGTCACTGACGTGGCAGATCATGGCGCTGCCCTGACGAGTGTACGCATGTCTCTGGTCTCAAGGGGAATTGCCTCCAATCCTGAAGAAAATCAGGGGCTCTGTCACAGAACGACCTGTGGCTTCCACGCGTGGGGGCATCAGGAAGCCTGAGCATGTCTTCTCTCTGGCCTGCGATTCATTACTGGGGAGGCATGGTGCAGACTGAAACTCCCAGGCCTATGAGAATTATTTTTCCCCCGAGAAACATCTGTATCTTGTAAATAGAATTTTATAAACATTTGTGGGACAGAGAAATCCTCTAGTCTTTTCACGTTGTCCCACCCTTGGCGATGATCTGTTCTGTTGAAGAACGCAGCCTCCTCCTGCTGTGGCTGTAACACCTGCGGGTCTGCCCGTCACCCAACACCGTGAGCCTCCAGGGCTCCCAGCCTTCTGTGTCAGACCTGGCTGAGCCGGGGGAGGGGGGGGAGCGTCCCCAAATAAAGTGACCCTAACCCCGAGCCAGTCTGCGAAATGCCCCCGCTGGTTGGGAAGCCCACGCGCAGGTGGGAGCAGGCAGCACCCAGGTGTGGGAGGGCTGCCCAGGGAGAGCCCTGTGGACAACCCCACCCAGTACAGCCCCCCACGGTCACCCCGCAACAAGCCCCCCTCAGCCTCGCCCTCAGGCCTGGGGCAAACCTATTGGCACCACAGCCCTCGGCACTCAGTAGCCAAAATGAGAGTCTGTCCTCGAAGTGATGTTCAATGTGGCATCCTTCCCTCGAAGGCGGAGGCGGGGCGCTGTCAGCTCCAGCCGCTCGCTTCCCGGTGCAGCCGTCGGTGGCTGCACAGTGTGAGTCACCAGGAAAGGCGAGGAGGTCAGGCCGGGAGGACGGTCCGAGGCCGTGAAGAAGGCAGCAGGTCACGTGCAGGGAGCCCACCCGTCATTTACTGGGCAGGTGGCAGGAGAATGGGGGGAGGGCCTGTCCCAGGTGCCCCTCGGGTAGGGAGCTCGAGGGGAGGCTAGATAGACGCACGAGGCCCAGTGAGTGTCGGTGGCGTCCCCGTCCACGCCTCCGGCCACCGCAGCCCCCGGGCACTCGAGAGCTCCAGCCCCAGTTCCCGTCCTTGACTCGGTCACCGTGCTGGAGGCCGTGGTGTGCTTCTTCTCGGTCTGGTCCATCGTCGGGCTCCTGGGCTTCCACACGTATCTCATCAGCTCCAACCAGACGACCAATGAAGACGTGAGTTCCTTCAGCGCAGGGCGGGGGCTGTGCCTTTGTGTTCGGGAACCGAGGGGGGGTGCGGGGAGGGATGGAAGAGGTTAGGAGCCAGGGTCTGTCCTGTTCCTCTTCAGTGGTTATGTGAGCCCCTCGCCACCAAGCCCAAGGAGAGACTGGGCAGGTGGCATCACAGGTGAACGTGGAGCCTGCCTCCTAGTTAACGTCTCCATGTTGGCTCTGGGGATCAGCCAGACCCCAAGTTTAACCTTTGCACAGGGTTACCTGCCTCTACTTCATGCGATGGAGAGGAGGCATCAAAACAAGAGACGTTCTGTTGGAAAATGCTTCTTCATTTTCCTCTCTGCTCTAAGTATCAGTCCATGTCTCTGAATCGCTCCATTTGCCGTAGAGGCTTGAGAAAACCAGCATCAATGAGATGCAAGAATATGAACAGTTATTTAATTTGGCAACTGTGACTCTTAGAATCTGCACAGTTACTTTGGCAACACATTGAGGCCAAATTCAGACGGTTCTAAACTGGCAGTCGGGCCCTGGTACCCCTCCCGCTGCCGTTCACTTGGTGGCTGTTTGAGCACGAATGTGAGCGTGAGCGGATCGCGTGGCTCGTGTGAGCGGCCTCTGGCGCTACGTAGCAGCAATAAGAGCTCGTCCCCAGAGAATGCGTTCTCCCTAGTCTGCCTGCTGGTGGGGGTGTTCCCAGGTTGGGCATAAATGCCAGTTTTCCTTGAGCAGCATCTCCATCCCCTGCCGCAGGCGGAGGGAAGATGATTTGCATTCCCACGGACTTCTTGTGGTCCAGCCGCTCAGACTGTGGCATTGGTGTAAGGGATGCTGTGTTCCTGTCTTCTTTCAGATTAAAGGATCTTGGTCAAATAAAAGAGGTAAAGAAAATTACAATCCCTACAGCTACGGAAATATCTGCACGAACTGCTGTGTCGCCCTGTGTGGGCCCGTCTCTCCAAGGTGAGGTTCAGAAAGCAGGGTGCTCCTCACCAGGCTCCGAAAACACACACCTTAGCACACGCCCTAGCACACGCCGTAGCACACGCCCTAGAACTCGCCTTAGCACACGCCCTCTAGAACACCCCTTAGCCCACGCCCTAGAACACGCCTTCGCACACGCCCTCTAGAACACCCCTTAGCCCACGCCCTAGAACACGCCTTCGCACACGCCCTCTAGAACACCCCTTAGCCCACGCCCTAGAACACGCCTTCGCACACGCCCTCTAGAACACCCCTTAGCACACACCCTAGAACACGCCTTAGCACACGCCCTAGGACATGCCTTAACACACGCCCTAGAACACGCCTTAGCACACGCCCTCTAGAACACACCTTAGCACACACCCTAGAACATGCCTTAGCACAAGCCTTAGCACACGCCCTAGAACACGCCTTAGCACACGCCCTAGCACAAGCCCTAGAACACGCCTTAGCACACACCCTCTAGAACACACCTTAGCACACACCCTAGAACATGCTTTAGCACACGCTCTAGAACACACCTTAGCACACGCCCTAGAACACGCCTCAGATGAGGGAGCACAGGCCCCACTGGGAAGAGATGCGGCCGCTGCGGGGGGATTAGGCCACACCGTCCACTGGTGCCACAGGGGCACGGCCTCAGTGAAATAAAGACCACAGAGACCTGGCTGTTTGTTGTGTTGTACTTGACACCTTCTTGGTTCTTCCAGTGAATTTGTGTCCGGTTTGGGGAAAATCCCTCAGGGTCAAATAGGGAAACTGAGGCATGTGACCTCATGAATTGTTGTGGGTCAGTGGGGAGCAGGGAGCTGTCGTTAGCACAGCAAGGGAACCAGGACACGATGCAGGAAGCAATTAGAAAACCGGTGGAACTGAGTTAGGAGTGAGTTGTGTAGAAGGTCAATGCCAAAATAGTTAGAGGCCGTCGTGTGGGGCCTGAAGCAGTGGCAGTTGTGATGATACGACAATGACGTTAACAGTGGCAGCAGCTATGTGCCCAGAATCGTGCACTGCAGTTGCCTCTAAGACATTCCTACACGGTATGACAATGTGCTCATGGGGTGGGGGGTGGTGTTCCCGTTTCCCAGCGACAGCTGCAGACCCACATTCAGCTCCCTGCACAGAAGGAGGGACACCGCTCCCCCCAAGTAGAAATAAACAGTATTGATGGCGTCTTCGGCTTTCTGCTCACTCTCCTCCTGTTCTGCTTTGTTCTCTCTTGTAGCCTCATTGACAGAAGAGGGTACGTCCAGCCTGACACGCCTCAGCCAGCCGCGCCCTCCAACGGGCTGGCCACGTATGGGGCCACCGCCTCGCAGAGCGACATGGTAGGAGCTGCCTGCAGGGCGACACCCTGAAAGGGTTCTCTTACGCTTCTGTGCTCACTAACCCAGTTACACCAGGCGCCTCTAGACCAGGCGCCCCTAGACCTGGTGCCCCTAGACCAGGCGCCCGTAGACCAGGCGCCCCTAGACCTGGTGCCCCTAGACCAGGCACCCCTAGACTGGGCGCCCCTAGACCAGCGCACCTTCAAAGCTCCTGGACACCAGGGACTGAGAGGCTTGGGCAAGGGGAAGGGGCTGTGGCCGCCGAGTGACAGGTGTGTTAGGGGCTGTGAAGGGGAAGGACACACAACATCTCCTCCAGAAACAGCTTGTGGCACCTGGTGATGGAAAGTCCCCTTGCACAGGCCACAGAGTCATTGGGGGGACGGGATCCAGCTGCCCTCGCAGGGCTGGGTGGCTGGAGGGTGCCCAGGCCCCATTCTGTCCCTCTGCTCAGTCTGGTCTGATCCCATCCCCCTGTAGTGTGCCATGGATGGCACTGCCAGTTCCCCACATTCAGCCAAATCTCACACCCGCCACGCACACCTGAGTGCGAATAATCAGACCAGGGTTCATTCTCCCACAGCGAAGGCTGAGGGAGCCTCTCCCAGGGGCTGCAGGTGTGGCTGAGCGTGGAAAGGCGGGCTTTGTTTCTGGGTGGCAGACTCGGGGGCGGGGCGGGGGGCTTTCCGTGGGCACCGGGAATCCCAGCTTTATCTGGACCAGATTCCCTAAAGAAGTTCCGTGTTTCTAAAGGGAATGGGCGTGGGGGCCTCGTGGCGCTATTGCCCTCCGTGGCCCTGAGTCACCCACAGCAGAGCTCCCGTGATCGACAGGCCTTTCCAGGCCTGAGGCTCCCGGGCCCTGGCTTCTGAGCACAGAGAACTGTGAGGGGAAGGCACGGCCTCCGACCACTGGGGCTCAGGGAGACCGCTCGGCCGTGGCCTCCGTCCGCGGTGTTTACAGACGGGGGCGAGGCCCAGCCCCAGCAGCCTCGCTAGGTTTGTTTGTCGGGAGTGGTGTTTCGTTTGTGTTGTGTTGTTTTGCTTTGCTTCGCTAATAATTCCTCTTCTTTGGAAGAAAGTGTGTACACATCAGTCCTTGCCACGCCCCCCCCATGCGATCCGGGACATTTTGTTCTGTCTGCACTCGCCCTCACAAGTGGCCCTTAGGAACGACTCTGTCAGAGAGAAATGTTAAAATCGCAGGGGTCACTCTGGAGCCGGTGTACAGCACCGCCCTGGACCGGAAGTTCCAGCCGTGACAGGTGTGCAGCGACATCCTCCCAGTGCCAGCCAAGGCTTAAACAGGCCTTCCCTCGGCCCCCCTCAAAGCCAGGAGGGGGACTACGTGTGGGAGGAGCCAGACAATTGTCACTTACTAGAGGAGTGACCTTGACAAGTCACTTAACCTCTCAGAATTTTCATCCAGGGGACTGTTGGATCCTGACCTTGCAGGGTTTCTATGAGGAGTGAGTTGATGTACGCAAAGCACTTAGCATCTTGCCTAGCACCGATAAGTTCTGTATAAGGATTAGCTGTTATTCTTTTATTATTATTTCCCTCATAGCCATGGGCTGCAAGATCAGCCAGCTCAATTGTATCCACTCTGAGCAACTGGGCAGCAATGGAAGTAACTGGGTGAGGGGAAGAGCCGGGGGTGGGAAGCTTAACATCGTTACCTGATAAGGACATCAGGGTTTGGTGTCTGGTGACCGCTTTTTTTCTGGACTCCAGATCCCATTTTCCTGTCTCTGGATGTCTGTTGACATTGTATTGAATACTGCGTATTTTGGACAATAGTGTAGAGACTCTGGATTTTGTTATCTTCGTTAGAAGACTGTCGATTCTCATTCTCGCAAGCAGTTCAGCTACTCGCTAATCACCTTGAACTTTCCAGGGTCCCACTGTAGGGCATGATTCTTGCTCCTAAGGCACAGCTTCCCTAGGCCCTCGCTGGATCGCAGGGCCGTTAGCAAGGTGTTGGCGGTGTTCATGAGGTCAGTGGCCCCCAGCACTTCTTTCGCCCTCTAGTATCTGTGTCCCTCTCTCAGCCCCACTGCAGCTGCTGTGTTGTCAGCCTCTGCAGGGGGGAGACTGCACATGCATACCAGAGCCTGTGGCCACAGCCGCTGCTGGTTCCCCTCTCTGCACAGCATCCTCTTCTCCAGGGCCTGCCCTGTGTCCCAGCTGCTCCAGCTTCCTGACGCTCTGAGCTCTACTTGCCCCACTCCGCAGAGCTGCTGGGCCCTGCTCAGACCTGAGCCGGCGTCCTGGTTGGGGATGTTTCCCCAACGGAAGAGCTGGCTGACTGTGGGCCTCGCCTTGAGAGTTCCCTTCTCTCAGGATTGCAGTCTCCCTTTGCCTGTTTGCCTTATGGGAAATCATTTATCTCACTTATTGGGGGTAGTTTTATACACCCCTCCCCCCATATACAGAGGGATGCTAGTCCAGTATCGGTTATGCATCATCCCTTGAACAGCAGCCTGTCTCTATGATTGGAGGACACGTTGCAGCCGGCACTGCCACAAGCCCAGATGCACAATTGTGTTACCCACTCTGCGGATAATAATGCTGCATTAGCCTTGGGGCGTGAGCACTCTAGCCAGACCTTTCCTTGAAGGAGGGACATTGGGAGGCATTCCATTTAGCAGAGGAAGGAAATGAACACATTATTTTATTTTAGGACCAAAGTCCAGATCCGCAAGGTACTTCCTGGATGATAGGAAAAGCGCTTCTGGGGAAATAGGTGCTGTTTTAGGAATGAGAGGTAAAGGCTTTAGGTCTTAGAGAAGCACTATGATAGTGCGGGATGGAAAGGTTAGGCAAATCTAATTAGCCCTGGCATCCAAGTCAACACTGAGGTCTGATTTATTTCCTCAAAAACAGGACAATGTACCGTTAACTTGCCATCTCTCAGATTTGTGGTTGGGGATCGGTATGTGGTGCCTAAGCAGCCCTCCCGCTACGACAGTCCCAAGGAGGAAAGTGTAGGCAAGCACTGAGGTGGCCTCGAAAGCATTGAAATGGTGCGTGCAGCCCAGGAGAGCGTCTGTCGTGTGAGCACCTGTGACATTCTGACTCACACTGGGATTAGTGCAGACCCTCAGTGCCACCTGAGCACCTGTTCTCCCCACGATTGGCTCTCATTGTTACCCCGTATTGAAGTTCTGCACATGTGCACACAGTGGTGACATCACTCGTGGTCCAGTTCTTCGTGCATCTCATTTGATGGTCAGTTTCAGTTCTGTCTAGCACCTGGGTCATAGTTTATGTTTAAACCTATTGTCAAATACTTTTAAGTTGTGAATAGCGTCCAGGGCACAGTTTATGTAGCTACAGAGTCCCTTTGGGATCACATGCTAACCACAAAGATAGCTCCTAGTTGTTGGGATTTCTTTTTGTCTTTTTAGATCATTTGATATATTTACTTAACCTAATTTCTAAATCCCCTTAATCCAATATCAAAACAAGGCTAAACCTAGCAGTGGGATGGTTTACTCAACTAGTAAATCAAGAGAACTCTTCGTGCATAATCTGAAAAATCAAATATTGTAGAACAGTACAACTTAAGCAGATTTAAATGGTAATGTTAATAGAAGAATAAAAAGGAAGCTCTGCTCCCAGCCTACATTTTAGGTAGGTTTTAAAGTTTGTGGTGCTTTTATAACGGTAAGTGAGCATTCATGAGACCCAGAACACAGCGCCATAGGCAGGCAGAAATGAACAATGCCCAGCATTAATACTTTGACAGAATTGGAGCAAACTAAGTAAGTAATTTCATTCATTCTTAATGTGTATAGAGACCATCTAGAAAGCGCACACATGTAGTCTGTCTGAGGGTCACTGCAGACACGAAGTCAGGGTAAAATGAAACGTCTTCCAACATGAGCGATTTTATTTGAAAATCTGCAGAAACAAAAAGTAAATGATCTCTGGGGGGCTTCTGAATTGTAACATTCGAACACCTGAACCCATAAGTCTCTCTGCAAGTAAAACGCGCTGCGTTGGGGCAGTGAGTCAGCGGCCACCACAGTGACTTCCTGCAGGTCCGGCCAGCGCTCTGGCGCGCAGACGTATCTGTGTTACGCTGCCAACAGGGGGCGCTTTTCATAAACAGGCTCACGAGTGATCCCACTTCCGTTCTGTCAGGACTCAGCATGCGGGTGATTTTTGGCCAAAAAGAAGGGCGATTTCATGTGGTTCAACCCTATATCTGATAAACAGGAACTTGTAAAGGGGTTGTTTTGGAATGAAAACACGAGTTTCTCGGTTTCTGTTCAGAGTAATGAATTGTCGTTGTCCAATATCCTGGGGCTTGTTATTTTCCCAGAGTATATAACTGGTTACATTAAAATACTCCCAATGGCTTCTGGGTGTTGGTGCTGGGATAGAAATAAATCCTGCCGAGCTGGGTGACTTGGGAGAGAAACTATTGAGCAGTGATGTCTCCCTCTACTGGATGAAGAGAGCAAACGCCAGGAAAGGAGTGGGTTGGATATAGAAAGATCAAGGTGAGGGGAGAGAGGTGGGAAGAGAAGAAAAAGAGAAGTGGGAGGGAAAGTACACAGGTGGGCGGGAAAGAGAAGAAAATCAGTGGGACCGAGGGAAAGCCGTCCAGTGGAAAGATCAACAAGAAATGGGCGAGTAAGAATGAGAAGCAGAGGTGGGAAGGACGAGGCATCAGGACACCTTTCCCTGGGCCGTCCCACAGGAACCCTGAAGTGTTGGCCATTTTCCCCCTCAAACTTCTCCAATGGGATTTACAACCATGAAGGTTGTGCAAAACGAGGAAAAGCTCTGACCTTTCAAAAAATTCACGTATTCCCTATTCATTGAGCTTCTTCTGAGAAGGAGATGTTCAGAACGTGCAAAGTTAATATGACGAGGATGATAAACCTGCTGGGCAGTCGTTGCACTGTCCTTGGTCGGAGTCTAATAGAATCATGGTGTCCATCCCGGTGGCCGGTCTGGAGCCAGCAGGCGCCTCCTGTGGGCACTAATGCGGGAGGAGCCTCCCGTGGGCGCTGCTGTGGGAGGAGCCTGGCCCCGGGCCCCAGGGGACGTGGTCTTCCAGCGGAAATCAGTTGAACCGTGTCCGAAGTTATGGAATGCATGTAGCATTTTGAGACTTAAGTCCGTGGTTCCAGTAATTGTGCCCCCGGATGGATACTTTTAATGAAATGCTTTAGGCTACATTTTTAAGTCCTGAAGTTTTCCCCGGGTAAACCAGAGAGCCTTTCATCAGGGTCCTGGCCAGGAGGCTGAGCACGGATTTGTTACAGTTTTAACGAGTCATCAGTGTGGCCACGGAAAGCGCCCCTGGGTGTGTGCAGGGAGTGGGCCCAGGTCTATGACATGCACTGACCACCAGGGGCCAGACACTCAACACAGGAGCTGCCCTCTGGTGGTCAGTGTACTCCCGCAGGCAACCTGCTGTAGCCAGCCAACCTCCTGCAGTCCCTCCCCCCAGCTGGCCCTGATTGGCCCCAATTGGCCCACATGGCCAGCCAGGCCAAGGGACCCCACCCGTGCACAAATTCGTGAACTGGGCCTCTAGTTGGTTAATAAAATTATGTAAGTTTCCAGTGGACAGTTCTATGATGCGTGGGTGGAATTGTTTGAAGTGAGGTCCTTTCTGTGAACCAGGGCCAGGAGCATGGCAGGCGGAGGCTGCCCCTCCTCCCTGGGCACCCGTCGGGGCTGTGAGCTGGAGCAGCTTTCCCAGGTGCCAGGTGTTGGGGTTTACCACATGCTGGGTGTCTCCATGTGAAACCGGCTACTGCACACGCTCCTGCCCTGCTGACTGAGTGTCACTAACGGGTTTCTCTTTCTCTCGCACCCTGCCCTCCCCCTGCCCCCCACCCCCTTCCCCTACCCTCCCACCCCGTGCCATCTCGTCTGGGCTTCTCTTTGCTGGCTCCCTCCTGCTCCAGTGCGACCAAGACCAGTGCATTCAGAGCACCAAATTCGTTTTGCAGGCCGCGGCCACGCCCCTGCTGCAGAGCGAGCCCAGCCTCACCAGCGACGAGCTGCACCTGTCGGGGAAGCCGGGCCTGGGCACGCCCTGTGCC